CTTCCGATATATATATATATATATTCAATGGCATATATGTATTGTACATAAAATAGATCGTCCCGTTTATATGTTGTTGAATTTCTAGTAAAATCATTGCTAATGCAAGATAGAAACCATCGAATTCAAATATATGAAAAAATAATAATTTATTTTTCATCAAACAACAAAATCTAAAAAAGATGAGTTAGGAAAAAGCCTGACTTAACTTTTGAAGTTTATAAACTATAAATTTTAACTATAAGCGCATGTTTGGGAAAAAATAATTTCCCCACTTTTAGCTGTTTTTCAGAAAAAAAAATTATTTACATAATAAACTTTATGTTTGAGACAAGTTTTTTTCTTCTAAAAAATAAGTATTTTTAAGAAGTCGAAAATTTAAATTTTATAATCATTTTTAACATCTTATTTTAAGCTAATTTACTATATAAAAATTTATTTTCTTATTATATCTAAACACAATTAAATATTTTAAAATCATCTTTCAACAGACTTATTCGAACAAAATTCCATCATGATTATATTCGATTATAGAATAATTATTTATTTATATAATCAATTATTAAAATAATTTAATTTTCACAACTCTTTCAATCACACTCTAAATATCATTTTGATTGAACTAATTAATTTATAAGTTCATCCAAAATTTTGCCAAATGCATTCTATACGAGTTTAAAAGTTTTAAACTAATTTACAATCTAATATCAAAATTTTCATTTTAAACTAATTAACTCATGAACTATTTCAAAACCTTTTCAAATACATTTATAATAAAATAAACTAATTAATCAAGTTCTTTTATAAATTGTTCAAATTTCTTATCAAAAACGTTTATAATAAAGAAAGAGTTGTGTTGTGTTGGAAGCCTTTGACGATGAAGGCTGCGATGGAAGCAACACAGATGCATGCATGTGCAACCATTAATTGTACGTTAAAAAAGGAAACCAAAGATATATAAGACTCAAATTATATATATAATACCAACCATGGTAGTTAGGGTGCTTGCAGTTGTCATTATTACAGAAAACGCCACATTTCCACTGCCAAAACAAAAACCTCATTTGATATCAATTCTATATATCTTATAAAAGATATTAAACCATTAATTAATTAGAATAACTGAGAGCCAATTAATATTACCGTGCTAGATATGTTATAATGTTACTAGCTGTGCCTGCAAAAAACAAAGAGTCAAACACCATTTAAAATATATATAGGTGCAGGATGCATATAATATAAATATATATATATATATATATATATTGATAATAGATAGAATAAGAAAATTAATTAAACCACAAAATTGAAATTCATACCTCCTGGGCAGCACCCAATTAGTATTAAGCCTGCTGCAAAATGTGATGGAAGATTTAAGAGTTTGCTTATGAGAAATCCAGATAGTGGCATCACCTGCAATTAATTTGTCACCAATTTGCACAAATTAACAAAACAATGATATATACCCCAAGACAAACTCTTTTTTGTTCTTAAATGAAAAAGGTATGTATTTGATATATGTTTTACCAATATTTTCTTTTTCAGCTTCGACTTATAAGTTTTTTTTTTTTTTATTATTTATCAATCTATCTATTTATCTATCTATATATAATTTTTTTATTTTATAAAAATTAATAACATACTTCTTTTAAAAATATATACCTAAAATTTAAGTTTTAGTAGTCTTAATTACTTTCAAGTCGGCCAGGTATGTTATCAGAATATAATTTTGGTTTCATTATTTTTAATTAAAAATAACTAGATTTTTTGTACCCATGTACTTAATTTGAATATTTGTTTTCTATCTTTTCAATATTATTTTGCATAATTGTTAAATAATACTGAGATATATGTAAACAATATATTGTTTATATTTACGGATATCTTGACAATCTTTTCCTTTAAGTATATTTGTTATATATTATTTAATTTCCTAAAATTTTATTTGAATAAGTTATTGTAAATTTTAATGGTACTTATTTGATTATTTTATTAATTTATTAATATATTATGTAATATAAACATCATTTAACATTTTAATATTTGAATATTTTAACTTAATTATATTTGTGTAAGGCAGTGGGTGTTAGGAGTGCTCCAGGTTTGGTTTGATTTGATATTTAGAAGAAAAAAAATTAAAATATTGAAACATAAAAATAATACTATTTTTTAACTCATAAAAATAACATGTGATTTAATTTGGTTCACTTTAAATGCAATATTAAATACAAACTAAATGGATCTTTTATTGTTTTAATCTTTTGATTTATTTTTATATGACTTTTACACTTATTTTAAATTTTGCAACAAAAAAAATAAAGCATAATATACATAAGGTTTAAATATATTTTTAGTCTCTCAAATTTAAAATAAATTTATTTTTAGTTCTTTAAATTTAAAATTATTATTTTTAATTTTTGTAATTTTAAAAAAATTTATTTTAGTCTTCAGGTTACTAATAACATATCTGAAAGTGACAGATTGAAACAATTATCTAGTATTAAGTAAATTTTATACGATAATATTTAATAGATTTTTTTAACAAAGTTTAAATATAAAAATTAATACAACTTTTTTTAAAATTATAAGAATTAAAAAAAATAATTTTAAATTTGAGAGACTAAAAATAAATTTATTTTAACTTTATAAGACTAAAAATAAATTTATTTTAACTTTATAAGACTAAAAATATATTTAAATATATAAATAACTATTTAAGTAAAATTGGTCTTTGTTTACATAATCGTAAACAATATGGTAATTATAAAAAACTACAAATGATAGTTACATTGCAAATCTCTTATAAATGAAATACATTACATACTATGTATTCATATTTAATTAGTCATATATTCAATGTTATAAACTCATAGTATAACCTAACTAAAATATCACATAAAATCACACATTATCGGTATCAAAAATTTAATTATTACTTCATATAATATTACAAGTATATAAGTATAGTAAAGGTGCCTGTCAAAAAGAAAAAGTATAGATAAAGGTGAGGTGTGATTCGGTTCAGCTGTGACTGTGAGAGAGTTAATAATAGGATTAAAATTATATTTTTTGGTTTTTTTTTAATTTTATTGAAATTTTTTAATCAAATTTTTTTTTCCAATTCTCAACTTTTCTTAACTTTAGAAATCAACTCACCTAAACTTTTATATATATATATATATATATATATATATATATATATATAAACTCTCATAATAAGTGCAATATTGTCTTATTAAAGTTAGACTTTGTAGTAATTACTTGTAGAGATAGTTAAAACGAATGATGGGTGTCAGTATTTATTATAAATGTAACTAATATAAAAGAAATATTATTTTTATTTTATGTTATCTTTTCTGAATGATCTATACAAGAAATTAATATAAAAAAGAAAAATCGATGTTTTCAAATAAGTTTTTTATTTGTTGTACAATTTTCAAACTAAGGTGTTGCTTAGAATAATTGAGGCGGTTCATAGTCAATTCGGGCGCTTCATAACCAATTCAATTCAGGCGGTTCATGAACCAATTCAATTTAATGCAAACCATAATAATCGAAGCAAAAAATTCATAATTGAACAAATTGAAAATAATATATATTTTCTTCATTGGCTTGAATCTAATTGAGGGGTGGCTTTCAGGTGTAAGTTTTTTAAAAAAAAATTAAAATTATAACATTTTTAGTTTTTTTTTTAAATTATCTTTTAATATTAAAATAAACTGATTTGAAATATTTCTCATTCCACTAAAACTAGTATAATGATAATAACGAGAAATGATAATGTTAGTGTTGATGCTAGCAATGCAAGTGGCAATGGTAATAGTAATGATGGTGGAGACATTATTAGTAGTGGTATTGATAATGATAGTAAAAATGATAAGGTAGTATTACTAGTGATACTTTAAATCCTAAACTTTAAATCTAATAGTGGTGACATTGTCAATATAATGTTGATGACTATAACAAAATGATGATGATGATAATAATAATAATATAAAAAGTAATGATAATAACAATGATAATTATAGTAGCAATGATGACATTATTGACAGTGTTGTTAACGACAACAATTATGATAGTGACGACAATGCTACTAGTATACGTTGATGGAAGCAATAATGTTGATGTTTGTAATAGTGATGACAATGTTATTATAAGTGATAATGATAACAACAATATCAATGATAATGACAATGACAATGATACTAATAATAATTAATTTTGCCTATGATGGTGCTAGTTGTAGAGGTGACTATGATGAGAGTGGTTTTAGTATAAGTAACAATAATGATATCAATAAATAATGATAGTGTAACACCCCAGAATTTCTACTATTGCAATATCAATTATTATCTATTTTTATATATTTATGAAGATTATTTTGTATAGTTACTTTAGTTAATTAAAATGGTTTTTATAAAGGTTTGTAACAATTTAAAATTATTTATGAAAATTTTTATAAAATTCTGTTTTTTACGCCGGAATGGACTGTTCCAAAAGTGGAACGGGCCGTTCCACACGAAGAAAATATACTATTTTTGAAGTGGCAGAACGGGCCGTTCCAAAAGCGGTACAGGCCGTTCCAAATATGTAAAAGGCCTATCTAGGTTTTTTCGGAACGGGTCGTTCCCAAAGTGAAACAGGCCGTTCCAGAGTAAGAAAAATGCCTAAAAAGTTAAGTTAGAAACTGGGCGTTCTACGTATTGTCAATGAGTGTTAAATGGAACCCCAGAACGGGTCGTTCTAGTTTTAAAACGGGTCATTCTACTTTTTGAAAATGGGTCGTTCCGATTTTGGAACGGGCCGTTCCAGTTAAAAATTTTACATATATTTGAAGGTTCCGGAACGGGCCGTTCCGAATTCAGTACGGCCGTTCCGGGTGCGCCAAGATGCCTATAAATAGGAGGCAGGGGGTGAAAAAAAATTATACTGAGAGAGAAGGTAAAATCTTAGAGAGAGAAAGAGAGAGAGAGAGAGAGAAAGAAAGAGGGAATTTAGAGGAGGAGGTCCTGCCCAAGTTCTAGCTCCTGCTTATCCAGGTAAGGGGGGAGTGAGAAACCTCGCTCGGGGGTGTGGGGATAATTGTTGGATAGTTTGATTGTCGGATTGGTCCCCAATCCCTTGCCTGTTGTTCTGTTTTATTTTTTTTTTGCTCTACCTTTGTTTCTTGTTACTTTGTTCTTTGTTGGAAGTAATAAATGAATAAGGAATTAATGCTAAAAATAAATAAGTTGAAATATGAATAAGTATGCTCTTTGTGAATTCCTGTGCGGACCTTATGAGGAGTATTTATGACATGACCATGTGAAATATGGACAAATGACATGAGACCTAAGAATGGACTATTGAGACAAGCTGTGATTATGAGAACATGAAAAATGATGACATGATGTACTTAATGAAATTCTGTAATAAGTCAAATGTTGAGTTAATGAAATAATGAATGTATGACATGCATCATATGCATATATTATTCCAGGTGTGCCGCTGAGGCCGCATACCAGTGATGTAACATGCTAACAAGGTGTACCTTAGGGTCACCAGTGATGTAACTTGCTAACAAGGTGTACCTTAGGGTCACCAGTGATGTAACTTGCTAACAAGGTATACCTTAGGGTCACAAGTGATGTAACATGCTAACAAGATGTACCTTAGGGTCACTAGTGATGTAACTTGCTAACAAGGTGTACCTTAGGGTCACCGGTGATGTAACCAGGTGTACCTTGGGGTCACCAGTGATGTAACCAGGTGTGCCTTAGGGTCACCAATGATGATATGTGAAACTTCCTTATTGCGCCACATGTATGCATTTATGAGTCAAATACATGATATCATAGCATGATAAATGAATCTATATGTGACATTGATTATTTATGTGTATTGTTTACATGCGACTTATATTTGTTGTGCGTGTGTATTCTATCTAACCTTTATTTCTGCACCTGAAACTGAGTGAGATGTTTCTCACTCCCTTGTTGTTCTTGTATATGTTTAAATTATGTTGCAGGAGATCAGCATCATGAGGATGTTGGTGATGAGACTTAAGGCTTCAATTGGGCATGCTCTGATAGGATGTGACATCAGGCATAGCTAGGCTTATTTTTGGGATGTTATTGTTTTTAAAAGCTTTAATTTTCTCTTCTTTTGTAATTTTGAACGTTCTTGAGAAAAGACCAAAATGTACATCTTTGTCATACTATTTTATTACATGATTTAAAAGTTATAAATTAATTCCTAACTAGGATGCACTGCCACCTTTGCTGGAATTAATTTATATTTTCCTTTATATGATTTCTTGAGTTTTGATACTTACGTGTTGACCTTTTTATGATTTATGAGTTACGAATGTGAATCTTTTACCTTATGATAATTGAGACAATTATTTTATCCATGAAAGAGGTTGTCAACTATGAAAGATTTTATTTACTCAAAAAAAAAAGAAAAAAAATTATTGTTTACATTTATTATGTATTAATGTTGGGGTAGAGGGTGTCACAGATAGTAGTTGTGTAGATATAAGTAATGGTAATAGAAAATATCATTATCAAATGTAAGAGTTTGTTTTATTAAAACTAAAACAAAATTACAATCGTTTTTTTTTTCTTGGTTTTGAAAAAAAATATAAAAATATTTTGAAATTAAATTAAAAATCGTTTCAGTTTCATTTTTATCAAACATGTTTTGTTTTATAAGAATTGCATTTAAAAATAAAAAATCAAAACTCACTATCACTCCAAATAGGACCTAATCTAATGAAAAAAAAATTATACTATGTATTCAAGAGAGTCAAATAATCAGTTACATTTGTTCGGGAATTTGTATGAATAATGAATTTATTATTCATTAATTATTTATCATTCGAAAAATTATAAAATTATCTCCAACTTATAACTTTCCTTTTGTTAGTTGAAAATATTTCAACAACAACAATAAGGATTGAACTCATGTACTATGTACTTAATTCAACTCTTTAATCATTAAGCCGATTTAATTGTTCTTCAATTTATATTTTGAATTTATTTTATAAATATATTATAAATTATATATATTTAATGATACGATATCATTTAAACTATTTATATATATATATATATATATATATATATATAATATGCAATAATTGATGTTAAGATTAATTAATTTATAGAATAATTTAAAATGAATTAAATTTTAAAATCAAACTAATTAAATAATTAAAAATAAATTTAAAATGATTGCATCAAATAGTTTTTATTTAAAATTATTCAATTCAATTTCCCCTAGTATATATGCACAGAGGATCAGATCAAGGCCGGCTCAAAAATAAAATTACTAAAGTTCAAACTTTAGTTCACTAAAAAAAATATTTATTATTAGTTTTTTTATAAAATAAAAAGTCATATATTAATAAAAAAAGACTTAAAATATAACTCTTTTATTTAAAAGTAAAAAATAAATCTCTAAATTTATTTTAAGTTCCAAATTGCTGTAAATTTGATGCTGCACATGAAAAAAAAAAAAAAAAATCTTTATGAGTTGCTTCTTTGAAAATAAAAATCGAAACAACAGAATGACTCAAACTCAAAGGACAATAAAATAAAAAGTAGAACTAAAACTCCAAATTAATAACCACCAGAGTGCAAATATATTACTAACCGAATACTGAAGGACGAAACCATAGAGAACTTGCTTAGGCATTGCAAGAGCCCCACGAAGATCATCAACACTCAGACTCATACCCATACCAACCATGATGACATTCAGACCCATGATTATCAATTTGGGAGTGACCCAATTGAAGAAATCTGGCTTCATCAACCCCAAAACACACCCAATTGAGACCCACAATGGAAATGCCGTCGAAAGAACCTCACCAACCACCACAACCCACTCCCCAACACTCCTACCTTCATTTGCACCGTACCCGTTCGACGAAATGCCACACTGAAGTGGACCAACGTTGGAACCGCCTATTCTTGGTGATTTTGATGTGCTATGGTTTAGCATTGACTGAGGTTGAGAATTGCTTCTGAGTGTGATCTCAGAAGTTGATTTGGTTCGAGTCAGAGTTGAATAGGCAGGTTTGAGTGGAACAAGGTTGGTGTGTGACTGCACTTTGATAACTCCATGAACACGAGGACGGCATGCAATTGATGCTTGCATTTCCTCCCTCTGTATTGTTCCACGACCCACAAAGAAAGAACACTAAGGACCAACTATTGTTTGTTCTTTATATAATTAAAGTGATATAATGTTTGGTCTATCCTTTTTCTTTTTAAGTATTTATAAGACAAGTCTATAGTGGCGGATCTAATATACTAGTTGTGACATTTTTAAAAAAAAAAATTACAAATCCATCATCACCGTCATCATTATATATATAAAATCAAAATATAGATGTCAAAATCAATCATGAGTAGATTCAATATATAAAATTAGTGATGCAAAACATAATATTTTTTAATATATATTAATAATTTAATTAAAGTGACATGTTGTATTTGTCTCCCTTTACTATGAAATCAGTTCACCACTGTCTTATAAAAAGTAGTTGATAAATAAAGATTTAATAGTAAGACGTTTGCTATATGAGTTAAGTCGGTTTAATTATATTCTTACTTGAACAATCTAAAATTTCAATAGACTAATTTATAAAATTTTGAATTCAACTCAATTAAAATCTGACACATATATTAAACAAGATCAAATTAATCTGAACTGTTAATATAATATCTCAAATTTAATATTATAATAGTATATAATTAAATATAATAGAAAAAAAATATAGTTGGATGTTTAATTAAAAAAATATTACTTTATTTAAACCAGAGTTAATTTTCAAGATGTGAATTTGACACTCCTATAACAATTAAAATTCAATTTTGGTTGACATATTTACTCAAGAAAATTTTTTGGGATCAAAAGTGTAATTTATCTTATAAATATTAATATCCAATTTGACAAGTAAAGTTTTGGATCAAAATGAATATGTAATGTTTTATATTTTTATGTATTTAATTATGAGTAGAATAAATATTTGGAATGAATAAAATGTATCATTTTTAATTAAATTAAGTTTTTATATTTTTTTAAATAAATGTATTTTTAGAAACTTGTATAAAAAAAATAAAAATAAAATCCTTAGATTGCACAGAAACTTGGCTGTTGTGGTTGTGTTTTGGTCACACACACGATGTTTTATTATTTCTCCACACTCATGCAACTTCACAGATTTAACACAAGTTCCATGTTAACACTATACAGTAACGTGATTTTTTTGGTCGGTTCCTGGAGTATTCACCATCGATAACAGTGATTAATCTCCTCGCTACGTTGGAGGCACCTCAAATGGTAGGATTCGAACCCCTGACCTTGCTTAAGCGTGGATCAACCCCTATCGCTAAATCACGTACTTGGAATTAAATCATAAACGTATAATTTAAAATTATGGAAACTAAATATAACGAAAAGTCTGATATAAATAATGGCAACCAGATTCAGATTACTCAGTATGGTTTCTAGTTTCTAGATATTTTAGGCACAGAGCGTCTCCAAATTCCTGCAAGGATACTACCCATGATTGACTGACCCACAATTGCAATAGCACCAGGTACTGCAGTTAGGGGATCTCCAAAGTGCTTCGTAGCCAGAACAATGTCCAGAACACAGTTCTACAAAATGCCATGGAATATAACTGGTAAATTTACGTGGAATTCAACCAATGATCACAAATGAGCTATGGCAAGTTGCTTATGCTTATAATGAACTGGAAAATTTATGGTTGGATTTGAATGTTGTGTATGAAAAAAAACATGATTAGAAGATGAGATTTTACTAAAAGTAACTTATCAAATTCTCTAACAAAAATTAATCATTAGCAAATAAATAAATATCCCGTATTAATAACATAGGTTAAAAAAAGTATTTTAATACTATTTTTGAAAAAATAGTTACATTGATAATTTGGGTTCTTACTAAAGTCAAACTCAATTTTTAATTAAAAAGTAATCTAAAAGCACTTAAAATGCTTTAAGTTGTCTATAGTTGGAAAAACAACTTAGAAAATACTAGATGACCACTTGTTTAGTAAAATTAATTTGACATGTTATTCAGAGGGACAATAATTATTAACTTTACCTTGGTGCCAACCTGAGAGGATATGGTTCTTGATGATGACACATCTAGCCCTAGCATTCTTGCAAATACGTAGCCAAAGAAAAACCCCGAAGCTTGGAGAAGAACAGTGGCTAAAATCACTTGTCCACCAGACACAAGGATTGCTGAAGAACTCTGCGCCATAGCGTTTCCACATAAAATTGCCACAGTTGTTACAGCAATAGGTGGCATCAATGGAGACAAAAATTTAACAATAGGTTGGAAAAACTGATTCAGCAATGCACCAGCCAACACAGGAAAAAGCACAACCTGTTCAAAGAGATTAGACAAAGGGAGTGATATAACAATTATTACTCCTTCCATCTCATATGACTACACTTTTAGTATTTAAAAGATATCTTTGAATGATATTTTTACTTTTTTAATATAATATTAATTAATTTTATATTAATTTATCTTTTCATAAATTATTAAACTATCACAATTCAAAAGCAATGTATTTATTGGAAGAGTAAACTATTTTAGTAAAATTTATTAAAAAAAATGATATATTTATTATTCTTTTTATTAATTTCTATATATAAAAAAATATTTAAATTGCAATCGTAATGAGAAGGAAGGAAGACAATATAAATTAGAAACCGAGACAAGATTAATTTGAGAAGTGCTAAATTAGCTTACTTGCAATGTTGAAATCAATAAGCCAATTGCATCCACCGCTACATATTTGCCAGCAAGTTTGGCTGTCAAAAATGGAGTCATGATCTGCAAAGTTAAGTTTTCAATGTGAGAAAAAATAAAAAATAGAAAGTGTACCAAAATGCACTATTCCTTCATAACAGATATCAATTATGTTCTGAGCAAGATCTTTAATTAGATTGGAGTGGTCATTGAATCACTGAAAGGAATGGTTTAATGTTAAATGATTTAGGCTGTGTTTCAGTGTTTGGGAAAAGTTGGGTTGAATGTAACTCACGTTTTCTCCAATCTGCCAACATACTTTTCAGTTTTCACGTTTGTCATTAATTACACATCAAATAGGGATACTAAATATATATAAGACTTAAGAATAGTGTTTATTTGATACTAAATATATATAAGACTTAAGAACAGTGTTATACGTACAACAAAAATTGTACAACTTGATGAACATCATTTTTGTATCTATATCTATCTATCGTTAATAATACTTTTCTTTATAATAAATGAAGTGATAGAGAGATAGATACAAAGGTAATGTTGTACAATTTTTGTTATACATATATGATTACTCAAGATTCAAATTTCAAATTATGTTACCAACCATCGCAGTTAGGGTGCTTGTAGTAGTCATTATCACAGAAAGCGCGACATTTGCACTAGCAAAACAAAAAGGTCATCAGATAACCTAAGGTGTGTTTATTTATACCTTTTCCCACATTCCAATGCAACCTAACATAACTGAGAAAGTTTTGGATTGGCGTTGGATGGGATTTTAAACTAAAACAAACACAGTGATGGTTTATCAAAAGCATCAATTGAAATAACAGTTGTGAGAGTCAATATACCGTGCAAGATATGTTATAATGTTACTAGCTGTGCCTGCAACCAAACAAAGAGTTGAAAATATAGGTGCAGGATGGATAGAAAACTTGAACAACAAAATTAAAATTCATACCCCCTGGACAGCACCCAAGTAATATTAAACCTGCTGCAGAATGTGATGGAAGATTTAAGAGTTTGCTTATAAGAAATCCAGATAGTGGCATCACCTGAAAGTTCTCACCAATTCTCACAAACAAAACAATGATATATACATCATCAAGACAAACTCTTTGGATGTATGTTAGGATTAGTTTTCAGTTTTACCAAAATCAATTACAAAACTATGTTGAAGGTCACAGCAATAAATAGTTGCTTCAAATTTTCAATATGATTTTGGAGTTTAGAATGTATTTTAGAATATATTCAAACACATCATAGAATAGAACGGTAGTAAAATGGCTAACAAAATAACTATTTGGTATATGAAAATGTTATATTGGTTACATTATTATTTTTCTTTTACAAATAAATGACAAGGTATCTATGTATTTTAAATATGAGTTTGCTATCTTTTCAATATTATTTTGAATAATTTATTTGATAATATCAAGGTTTTATAACAATATTCATATTTAAAATATTTAATCAAATTTGTTTAGAAATAATCTTTTATATATTACTTTCTTTCCTTTTTCATCGGAATAAATTATGCTATTTTTAAAAGTCTTTTATTTTTTTTTTTACTAAATTGTTAATACATTATATAATAGTTTAAATATTATTTAAAATATTTTAGTATTTCGATTAATTATATATATATAAAAGTTGTTTGTGTTTGTTTTTTTTACGAACGAAACACATTAGAAAGAAACCAAAGTGAAAGAAGAAAAAAATTAACTCATTTTATTCCCATGTTTGGTACATTATGGAAGGAAAGAAAGCTTTATTCCTGTGTTTGGCTAGGTAGTTGGAAAATGTGAGAAATTGAATTTCAAATAGAAAGAAAAGGGAGAAGAAAATATAATTTGAATTTTTATCTTTTAAAATTAACTTTTTACTCTATTTTTAATCAAGTTTTTCTTTTCTCTCATTTTTATGTCTTCCAAGCATAGGGTAAAAAGTAAGTGAGGTCATTTTTTATGTAATCCACTCATTTTTGGATGGAAGAGATAAAATTGCTTGTGTGAAAATAAAATATTAGACTATGCATTTTTATATTTTTATTAAAATAATTATATTATTGTATATATCGTAATTTTATTTTTTATTTTAAATAAATGTATCTCTTTCTTTCTTAAATATAATCATTTTAATTTTTTCATTTCACCAAAAAAATCCATAACCATTAATAAAAGTGATATTTTGGTACATATCCATATTTTTTAAGATTCTTTTATTCTTCAAATAATACACACATTTATCTCACATGTAAGGATTATGAGTTTTCAGTTGGATATATTTTTTTTTTTAAGAATATGAGCTTGTCTTTTTTAAAAATAAAATTGACAATTTTTAGTTTTTTATTAATTTTTGTTACATAAAGTAATTATTGAAATTAAGTCTCATTTGTTAAATAATGATGTATATAAAAAAATCATAATTAATTTGATTATTAATGTTTACATAATAAATATTAAATTATATGACACGTCAATTTTGAACTTTATATATTAATTATTTGTATTCAATTCTTTAATTTATGTGTCATATGATTTCACATTTATTAATGTCACATGAGTAAATACATAAAATTACTTAATAAAAAAAAAGACTTAATTTTGAAAACTAATTTATGAGATAGAAAATTAGTGAAAAATTAAAAGTTGAAAAAAAAATAAAAAATGAATAAAAATCAAATTCTTAAAAAGTGAGTGAATAAAAACTTACTTATGCAATGTGATTTAATTTAATTTAAATGCAATGTTTAACTCAATTAATCTAAACCAGATATAAGCACTACATTGCAAGGAATACTAACCGAATACTGAAGAACAAAAGCAGAGAGGACTTGCTTAGGCATGGCAAGAACCCCACGAAGATCATCAAGACTGAGAGTCATACCCATACCAAGCATGATGATGTTGAGACCCGTAATACTCAATTTGGGAGTGACCCAATTGAAGCAATTGGGTTTCATCAGCCCCAAAACGCACCCAATTGAGACCCACAGTGGAAACGCCGCTGAAAGGACCTCACCAGCCACCACAAGCCACTCCCCAACACTCCTACCTTCATTTGCACCGTACCTGTTCGACGAAATGCCGCACCCAAGTGGACCCACGCTGGAACCACGGATTCTCGGTGATTTTGATGTGCAAAGGTTAAACAGTGGTTGAGGTTGGGAATTGCATCTGAGTGTGATCCCAGAAGCTGATTTGGCTCGAATTGTTGAAGTAAAGTGGTGGGGTTTGAGGGGAACGGTTGTTGGATTGTGTGGTCCTGGAATTACACGAGGACTGCACGCAATTGATACCTGCATTTTATCCAACAACGGAAGAAAGAGCACTCCAGAGTACAGACCAGTTATGATTTAAAGAAAACTGCAAAATCAAAATGAGTTTTTTTTCTTCTAAATTATCTATTTATTACCCTATTTATTTTTAAACTTTAATTTGATTCTATTATTTTTATTAGGGCTGATCATTGGATAGTTTTGGTTGGATTCAGGCCTAAAATGTCCAATCTGACAAAAATCAAGCTAAAAAAAAATTGCCTTGTAACTATTAATTTCTCGATTTAAGCTGGGTTCGAGTTAGTTCAGTTACGGTCTGGGTTAGGCCATTTACTTCAAATTTGACCTATAATAAAATATATGCAATATAAAGGTAAAATAATTATACAAAATATATGCAATATAGATACAATATTCCAATAAAAGTAAATTGCACAACCTAAGTTATCAATTAAACAACTCTTATACAAAGTACTACACAACAATAGCACTAAAAGATAAATGATTGCACCATCCATCCAATGACCATCTCTGCATAGCATCTTACATCTATCTAAGCTCTACTCTCATACCATGTATGATCATAACAATTCAAATCACATGAAAACACATAAGAATAAGCTAGAATTTAAAGAATAACATATATACAACACAAAACATCACCAATATTAATATATCAACACATCTTCACTACACTTTCAACCACTATCAACATGTAGCATTACAACTCAATCAACATATATCAACAAGAACAACTCAGTTTACTATAACACAATATCAATTTGAACATCACTCATCAATAACTCAATTTTCACCATAACAACATAGTATATACAACATGGCAATGACATTCGTCGTCATGCATTTCAATCAAGAAATATCTTATAACACAAGGTGAACAATTTAAGTGGTTTGACCTTACCGAACCAACAACACATGGTGATATTTTTTGCTTGCTTGATCAATAATAAATTGGATATCAATCCACAATACAACAACTTGGTTTCTCGGATGTCGTCGCTTAAACAAGGAAGTTGAGTACTACTATTAGGGTAGCATAGCTGGATATGAGCATACCACAACATTATCTAGCTTAATTAAGTCTCCTATGAGATTAGTCCATCAACTACCCTCCAAATACTACGCCTTTTCAATACTCGGTAAGGAATTGAGTTGTTGACTTCGTTCTTTACTCAATTAATCACTTGTAATCAGTATAGCTAGACTTGCCCCCTAAATTGTGGTTGCTTTCTACATGTGTACCTCGATCTTGCTCGCACACAGTACTAACTAAAGTCTTAGATGAGACTCAACTGTCCTCTTCAAGGGTCAACTCCTCAAGAATGATTTTTAACAAATTGGGCTCTTAGAGCACCAAAATACAAGATCCATGTAATGGGACATACAACTTTAAAAACAACCTCTCCTTTAATCCTAGATTGGTCATCACAACTCAAGACCACCATTCCTAACTACTTAAAGCATTCACAACCTTCATCATCTCAACAACACAACAACATCATTCATATAGCATTTCCAACACAACCACGCCACCAACACCCAACATACAACACACAATGTATAACTCAACTCACTTTCAACTCTCATTTATCCATCATCATTAATTACCATCATATAAACACCTATAATCAATATGAAACAACTTAAAACATGCAATAGATTAATCTACTCCATTCATATTCACAAATTTTGAAATTAAACAACTAGTCTTCATCAAGCAACCAATGTTTGACGCCATACATCTTACACCCAATGTCATTGAGGCAAGGAACTCTCTGCCTTGTCCATGTCGGGCATGGATAAGATAGAGGCCCATGGGACCTCATGCTTGGTGTGGCAAAGCTCCACACCTGGTCTCATTTCAAGCATGGAGTCTCTACTTGACTCACATTCGATGTCACCGTACTTGCACTCGACATTGTCTAGAGCTCCCTTAGAGATTGATGTCACAAAGTTAGAGACCTTCTAGAGCTTTCACATTGATGTCATTCAAACCACACCCAATGCCACTTCAACCCAAGACAAGTCTCTCTCCTTACGCCTAATGCCACCAATCTTGTGTTCGACATGATAACACAAGTTCTTCACTTATGCAAATCACAAGTTTTACTCAATCCACCTAAAAAACTTAGCAACTTCCAAGCATCCAACAATATCAATCAACTATATACATCACAAACAACACATAAATGTACTTAAAATCAACGTGCAACCACTAGGGATCAAATCTCCATTTTTGTTTTCAACATGTTTCAAAACTCAAACTCATCCAACCCCAAGCATTCAATCTCAATCCAAGCAACACAACCACAATTTACAAGAAGAATCATCTACTTGCAACTTAAAACATCAAACAAGAACACATTATAACTTCCCTAACCTCAAGATCAATCCAGAAAATAAGAAAAAGAAGTAAAAGACACCACATGACTCTAAGAAGCTCCACACGGATACACTAGCTTGATCCTAGATTCCTATAACCTGAATCAACAACAATACAACACATATGAGCTTAAAGTAAGAATTGGAGAAGATTTAGAGGGAAATGAATCTCATAAACTAGAGTCCTTCTATTTAGAATTCTTTTCTCTAAGTTTCTAAAGACTTGAATTTATGAAGCTGAATTCAAAACATAAATCTTATGTACTCCTCTCCTTGAGGCCAAACTGAATCTCTACCCAAAGAAACCCACAAAACTACCTAAACTCATAAGGAATCCTTAGATTCCAGAGCTCCTCAATATAGAACAACAATCTACACAACTACAAAAAATAAATTTAAACAACTACGACACTCTACGACTCATAGTGTTACAGTAGTAAGTGACAAATAGAGATAATCTAATAGTGTCTAAAAAAATGAATAATTTAAAATTATTGAATATAATATTAATTACTTTATAGTTTATACTACTGTTTGGACAATATAATTGAAAAGAATATGTGACTTTTGATGACTATTTTATGATATATATATATATATATAATTTTATAATTATTTAATATACATCACTTTATTTTACGTATAATATGATATGTAAAATATATGAAAGTATTCATTGTTAGTTAAAATGAAATCTTGATTTATCACATCATTTTAATTTATTAAATAATTTATTTTTGGTTCTTTTGACTTTTAATTTTGAGTTAATTTTTTTTCTGAAAAATAATTATTTTCAATTTTAAACATTTTTTTATCTAATTGATAACATAAAAATTTCTCATTAAATTCCCACTTATAAAACCTAATTAATGTATGAATTAAAAGGTCATAGTAGCATAAAAAGTAAGTAAAAAAATATATAATAAAAAATAGTTAAATAAATTAGTTAAAAGGATAAAAGGATAGTTAAGAGATAAAATAGTCATAAAAAATGTGAATACTAAATAAGATATCCTTTGTAAATGTTATAAATTATATATTATGACTATTCATTTATATTTTAATAACATATTTAATGGTTAAAAATAAATTCATATGCATGAGGGACAACCTCGTCTTAAAATTCACCACATATATAATGTACTAAATTGTTAAATAGTTCATCTATATTATTATTTTAAAACGTTTCTCACATTACTTAATTGATACATATTCATATTTTGCATTAATTAATGATGCGAGAGAAAGTGACATAATTATTAATTATATTTATTAAATATTATTAAAATATCATATACTCCATAAGTTTAAGTTTAATTATAGTTTATTATATATTTTAGTATGTATTTTTTTTAATAATTAACATATATTTTTATCATTGTAAAACATTTAGTACTCTATTTGTTAAGTTTAATTTCTATGCATATTTATGATATTACACCCCCTCCTCTCTTCTCCGCAAAAATTATCATTGGCATAATTTTAAAAATAATTGATGTAAAAGTTAACAAATTCATAATACATGTTAATTTGTGATTAAATAATAATGTAAAAAAAAAATTACACTCTCAATGCACAAACTATTTACTCTTACTTGTTTAACATATAATTTATTTTTAGTGATGATAGTCTAACTTTATTTTGAATTATGATCTGTAATTTTAATTATTGATATATCATGTATGAATTTATTTATTTATTTATCCATTAATAAAAAAAGATTAAACAAATTCAGCAAATAAAATAAAGAAAAATTACTCCTAGTAACCTAAGATCTTGGATCCACCATTGCATGGAGATGCTAACTTTTGAAACTTCACTTTGAATGCGGAAAATCACGTCATGATGCCACACCAAACATGTTCACAGTGGAGCAGGACAAAGCAAAGTTGAAGAGAACATTAAGATGGCAGAAGAATGGTGCATCCCCACTGTTTGGCCTTACCAAGGTTTAGTGGGTATTTTCTCTGATTATAGTAGAAAACTGCTTCATGAATCCAAGAGGAAAACTAAGGAACTCTTAAACAAGTAATAAAAATTCAACTTGGCACTCTCAAATAGGATAGTGAAATTCACTTGTTTGTATATAAATTGATTCTTCCTATCAACTTAGGCACTCGTCGAGCAAGTAATAGTTACAGTATTGTGAGTAAAATTAGTCTATGATGTAATGGGTTGAGGCCAAGATAATGGTGGCAGAGCCAAAAAAATAAAAAATAAAACAATCAAATGACAAAGTGAAACAATGACTAAATAGCCATGTGGTGATCAACCAAGGGACAAAATGAGTTTCTTGCCCTAAGCACCATATGGGGATCAACATGAAACATCAGACTATAATAATAATAATAATACATGCCTATATAATGTGTATATATCTGTTTCTAACATCTGATGAACTTGTAAATGACCTCAATGCAAGAGAAGCCAACTTTGACCACCAACAACAACTGCACGAGTGGTGCAATATGCCTTTCTTGCAATAGTCCCATTTTGAAGCATGGTTCACCTCCTCAATGCTTGCATAAATATACATACAGTGGCAAGTTATTCATTATAACAACTTCTGGTGACTCTCAAGGATGCAACAGTAATTGCTCCTATATATTGAATCAAGCAGGGATGTTGCCAACTCCAGATTCAGACCACATCTAGCAGCAAAAAATCGTTTCTAACCCTGATTCTGCTTTGTGAAGGAACAAGAAGCTGTCATTGTGAGAACCACTCTTAAAGACAGATTGAGATTTTACATGCAATGATTATTTACAAAATTGCAGGTTTGTTCTTGCTCTATGACAGTTTACAGGCAGCATCAAAACCAGAACAAAAAAAAAAGTTAAGCCAAAAAAGAAAAGTAAAGAATGTACAAGTTTAAAAGGCCACCTGGAAAATATGGAAACACATAAAACATGGAATTTGCTTCCAAGTCAACTAACATGTTGTCTAGTAGGAAAACATCCATAAAAATTAAAACTATTAATCCATGTGGACTCCCTTCAGTCACTTAATTTTAACTGGATAATTCTTGCTCAAATGCAATTCAACTATAAGTTATAGATTATCAACTCAGATATCGAGATCATGAATACTCTTTATGTAACAAGGATCAATCAGGCTTTAGAATAAATGCCAGAAGACCACCATCTGAATTGGGGGTAGTCTGTTAGATTTATCGACTACTGAACCCATCCCCACGTATACATATAGAATGCCTATAATATGAAGTTAAAGAATTTTGATGGCACTAGGAGCATGGTTTCAGAAATTAACGTCATCCTCTGGTTGCAAGGATTTTATCCACTAATTTCATGAAAACATAGTTTTCTTACCTAGTAACAAGTAGACAAAAGGCATCCTCATAAATTAAACTAAAAAATCATGAATGGGAGGGAACCAATAATAAACTCAGATTCACTAAACCCAAACGGGACATGCTGCATCATTGCTTTTCTTATGTGGAATACAAATGCTGAGATTCAGTAGGAAAGCTATAGCCTATTTCATATATTGAGCATGGATCCTCATAAAGAATGCCTATGGCAAAGACCAGAAATCTTAATCAGAAATATCTTTCGTTTACCTTTAGTCTTTTCATCAGAACTGATCATGCATATGACACTATCAGAGGTTCTCTGGAGTTTTCTCTAGATTTACTCTCGAAATAGAAGTACAATATCAACTGTATCAATCCCAAAATGGTTCCTATCCCATTCGGCACCTACAAATCAAGAAAAGATGTTGGTACTGTTATACTTCAAACATAAGCCACCAAAATGAACATTTCAAACTAAAATGGCCATTTCAAGAATAAATAGATAAAAAAAAAATGTTGGAAGGAACCTTACATAAATGAAGGCATCATTGTTGAATATTCCATAAAGCAAGAAAGAGGTGCTCATTAAGAAGGTGGAAAGTGAGAGATAAAATGGCATGAACTCAACACTCTTTGTCTGAATGACCAATTTCTGAGATATATAGTAGATAACGTGAGTAAATTCACCCACTAACAGATAAGGCTCATATTTTATATGGATATGAAGGAAACAAAATAACACACTCACAATTATAAACAATGGAGAGGCAAACATTGAAATGAGAGATGCACAGCTCAAGAATCCCACAAAGAAACGGCGCGTTAGAGCGTCATTTATTTGCAAGCTTCCAAATAATATGATTGCAAATACGCCAAGAACTGCTAGCAATAATCCAAACATTCTCACCTATCCAATAGTAGTTTAAACATTTTAGAAACTATCCGCCAAATTTTGGACTTATCATATCACAAAAATAAGCTGCAAATAGTATTAACCTTCTTTGCTTTCTCAGCATACATCAAGAAGAGGATTATGTACACAAACTGAAAGACTGCTCCAATTGAATTAACAGTGGTAATCAACAAGTTATCAGCAGATATGAGAGGTGTGCCATACCACAAGCAGATCAAGCAGTTCAGAAGAGAATAAATATATGGCAACCCTGAGAACATCTCTGTTGACCCATTTCTCATAATCCTCCTAAATGTGGGTCTAGAATTCAAAACCAGAACAAGAGTTACACAATAAACAGAAATAAACAACAAAAAATTCTTCAAAATCCATCAGGAAACAAAAAACTTACATGGGGGACACAAACAACCCAAAAGCAAACACATTTCCTGCAAATAATCAAGTAACTTAACAAAGTGAAATGTGTGATCATCAACTAAGAAAAATGGGTCTTTTTTCTTTTTCTTTTTCTTTTTCTCAATTATCATAGAAAAAGAAGTACCTGCAATTCCAGCTACATCTTTGGCAACTCTACAAATGGAAAATGCAGCAAAGAGAGACATTGATCTTCAAACACCAACAAACTAGATAAATGAAACCAAAGCCTCAATTATTCAAATTATATTGTACACTTGAGAAGTAAATTTGAGGCATGTCCTTTGTAATCTAGTTTGTGGTTTCTCTCGGCAAGTTGTCCACTTTAAAATGAAAAACATAATTAATGGTAACCTCATAATATATATAGTATGAGTGGTTGTAGCAAAGAAGTTCACAAATAAAATAAAATAAAATAAAAAAGGGTTATGAGCCACGAAAAAGAAAACAATTTGCAATTGAAATTTGAGTACGTCCACACGTTGAGTGAAAGTAGTTGAAAAATCGGCGCACGTTTTTATGAGACAGACCGAAGCTGAGCTGTTCGGATTAGGACGAGGAGCACCGTCAATGTACAACATTCCAACTGAATAGACATTTTTCTTAAAAAAATATATATTATAAATTTTTAAAAATTAAATTATTTTTAAAATAAAAAATAAAATAAAGATAGAATTTATGTAATTTTTTATTAAAATAATAAATAAATAGTAAATATTGTTAAAGCTAAACCAATCCAAAAATAATAGTATCAAGTTACTTGAGTCACATTCTGACATAACTTAACTTATCTAATAATTCTTATTTTTAATAACTAAAACGATCAACAATGATTGTTGACTAAAGTAACAATAATTTTTTTTATAAGTAATGTCTTTTATTCAAGTTTTGTAGAAAATAATATTTTATTTAATTTAAAAATAAATATATTTGATTTAATTCCAATTAATAAAAGTTAGTTCGTGATAATATTTAAGGTCTATTTAAACAAATAACTTATTTAAGATTGTATTTAATTATTTTTTATGTAATAAAAATTTATATTATAAAAATTAAAATTTGATATATTATTATATTTGGATATACATATTAATAAATATTTATATAATTTTAAAGTATTTAGATGTATCATTATTTAAGTATTTGTAAGATGTTATTTATTAAACTTAGACATTAAATAAGAATCAAAATACCTTCTTATAATAATGAGAAAAAAAACTTAAAAACTAATATGGCTAATTATATATATTTTAAAAATTTAATTTAGCTACGTTTTTGCCTTTAAATATTGTCGTAACTCGTAAGAATAAGATTATTATTCTGATATAGTATATTATACGACTATTCAATGAATCTAGAAGGAATTAAACTTTAACGAACTCATACAACTGAATATTGTTTATTTTGATTAATTTAATTTAAAGAATTAAATTTTTATAGTAAAGTATTTTTGTATTCGTAACTCGAAATTACAAAAATAACTAAAAGACATATGTATCATGTACAATCAATAAACATGTTTTTTATGTACCAAAAAAATATATGTAACAAAACTACATTTTTTTACACCTAAATTACATGCTTTTAAGAATACAAGATTTTTTTTTTATGAAAAGAGTTGGTGGAATCGAAAGACACTTTTAATACTACTAAGTAAGATAATAATGAATGTTGATCTACTAGATTGTCCTACAAGAATATTTATTTTTGTAATCACTCGACTAATTTTTTAATGTTAAGAAATTTCAATGAAAATTATTATTTACATGAGATTTTAATGATAATAAGAAGAATCAAACCCCGCATTTATAGAGAAAGTAAGAGGTAACTCCTATTAAAAATTTATAGGTGAAAAAGGTTACAACATAAAGATCTAACCTATAGATTAAAATATATGTATATATAGATAAATAGATATAAATAAAGATCTAACTTATGGATTAAAATATATGTATATATAGATAGATAGATATAAATAAAAATCTAACTTATGGATTAAAATATATGTATATATAGATAAATAGATATAAATAAAGATCTAACTTATGGATTAAAATATATGTATATATAGATAGATAGATATAGATATAGATAAAGATAGATAACTTATAAAACATTATTTCATTAAAGAAAAAGGCATTTTGGAGAAAGCTTCAGAATATTCATGATTCTAAACTTATTTTTTTTCATGATACAAGGTCACATTAATTTAAAGAAAAATTCTTAATTACTCTAAGCAGAGCCCAAAATTGTTGCGTTCACGCTTTTTCATCAAAGTCATTTGAAGAGGGTGACATGTATTTTTTAGGTGGTTGCTTCCACTACGATATTTCTCTAGAAAGGAGAGGCATATACCATAGCTCCTTAATTTTTTTTTTCTTATTATTTAATTTAAAGAGTTAATACAAAACTCCGAAGCTTATCATTATAATTTATCACATTTGATAGGGGCTTTCAAATTTTTATTAACAAAACAATACAATTGGAACTTTGGATTCGGGTATTTAATAACTTGGGACTTTGCTTTACGTTTGGGAATGTAGTTTTCAAGGAATCGGCTTGTGGAGACCAACGAGAATGGTGCTAGAAAATATGAGAAACTACGGAGAAGAGACAGAGAACATGAACCCTAAATTTGTGGAATTTCTTTTATTAGTACTTCTACGGTTTTATTGATTAAATATAATGGAGCATCAAAGTTGTGATCGTGTACATAAGAAAGAATGATTGATTATGATATTATTTTGATAAAGTCTTGGGGTGTTATCCAAAAGATGTTCAGATGAGTGGGTTAAGTATAAAGTTCTTTAAGCTTATGTTATGAGCCACTAATTAATTAAGCTTAATGTCTCTTACATACTTGCTTATATTTTCTTTACTTTGGGTCTTGTATTTTGGACTTAATAGTTTAGTTGTTTGAGCATTGTATTTTGGGTCAAGTAATATTGGGTCTCTTGTATTTTTTTATGCTTTTGTTAGGTTTTGGAGTTGCAAATACATTTGAGTTATCCAAGCTACATTTAGGTTTGAATTTGGTACCATGTGATCGGTCATGTGGGAGCGCACATGGCTTGACCAAATTCAAACCCTAATATGTTTTTGATAACATCCAAATGCATTATTCAACTTCCTTAGATCTATAAGCATATGGTTGCACGTAACTAAACCTAGGATTGACCAAATTTGAATTTCAAATTCAAAATTGGTGCCTAGGTTAACCAAAGTTAGGCTGCCATGGTTCTTTTGACCCTTGGTTAACCTAGCTTGCTCCACAAGCTTCCAAGGTCTATATAAGCCCTCATTCTACTTGTATGCGTCATTTATGAGGTATCTGTTCATATTTATAAATTCTTTCTTCAATCTCTCGAGTCACTTAGGAGAAACTCTCTCCTTAAGCATTTCCATAAAGGAAACCTTCCTTGTGACTAGTGCTCTCACTTCACTTGCTTCTCTCTTCCTTGGAGAGTTGGCACATTGATTCACTTGTTCTACATCATGTTTGATGTGTCTTCATTGGAGAATCATGACCATGGAAGCACAAAAAGGGAGCTAGGAGCTACATAAAGGAATTTAACTACCATTCCTCCATGCAGTTCCATCATTTTGGTATTCGAGCCTAGTTGCTTCATGAGGTTATATGTCTCATTCTTGTTATTTCTTCTTGTCAAAATTTTTCTAAAATGTCTAGTTGTGTATGTTGTTGTGTAGATCTAATTCCTTGCATGATAATTTATAATTCTTTGATGTCTTGAAAACAGTTGGTTCATAAAAATATTTTGATTTAGCATTCTTGATGCATGATTTTAATTTTGAATCCATATATGAGTCATGTATAGTCTTTATATGTCATAAATTTCTAGTATGAACCTGTTTGCTTTCAAAATTTGAATAATAAAATGTTAAATTCAATTTGGCCAAATGCTTTTGGTGTTTTTATGTTTCTATATTAAGTTCATATTCATCATTAGATCATTGGTGAATTCCTCGTGTTAGGTTTCTATTATGTCTAGTAGTTGTCTTACATCATGCCCAATGCTTGAAGCTACACCCGACATGACGATTAATTATGCACTTGATAGATTCATGAAATTGCTCTCTTCACATGAAAATCAAGAAACCCAAGCACAAAATACAATAATATATATTTAATCATCATAAACAACTCATTTCTTACCAAAATAGCAACAAGCAACAACAAATTTGTTAGAATCACCAATTTTACCTCAACATGCTTTCAAAGACCAAAACTAATCATACACCAATTACACCTCAAGAATTCAATGATGTAGCCATAAAATTTAATGAAATCAAACGACAGTCAATAAGAAATAAGGTTTTAGCTTTCCTTGCCTCTAACTCTAGAAGAATCAGAGAAGAAGGAAGAACATAATGAATCTCTTCATGCAACTCTATACAACATGGCACCCACTTCAATTCTCAACTATGAAGCTTCAAATCACTACTCAGCCACCAAAACTACTTTAAGAGGAAGAAGAGATCTGATAAGTCAAAAGAGAAAACAGTCCTTAAGTTTTAGAGCTCATCTCTCTAGACTATCACTCTAAGTTTTCTTAAGAATGAACTTATGAAGTTCAAGTCTTAAAGAAAACCTTATATACCTCTCCTCAACAAGTCAAATTTGACCTCTGCTCAAAGAGACTCCCAAACAACTAAAACTCATGAGAATTCATAAATTCTTAGAGTTTTTCAACAATTAAACAACAAAACATCACAACACAATAATTTAATAAAATAAACCATTATTAAATAAAAATGTGTAGTATTAACCAAGTTTCATACATACTCATCCATTTTATAATCCAATCGGTCAATTAGTCACTCAGTACTCAAATAACGTTACCATACCATCAAATCATGCAAAATCATCCAATCAAGTAAAAATCCTCGAATTCATGCATATAGTAGCCCTAACCCACAAACGCATCAATTTATCACTAATATTTTAATCCAACACGAATCAACACACAAATTCATATAAGATAATAGGAATCAACCATTAATTCATTCACATGTAGTTACACAAATTAAATCCATCAACTTCGAGGCATAGGGATCGCTTTTTACCTTTATCCCTCATATATACCCAAATATTTGTCAATCTCACTCCCTTACCTAGGGTAAAGATCTTGTAGATTAATGCACTTCCTGTAGTTCTAGTTGCTAATATGTACCTTTTTTAGTGGTCTCTTCTAGGTTTCCTCCTACAAGTGTCTAGGTTTTAGAAGATGCACTATAACCTAATGTCTAGAGTCTAACCCATAATCCTCTCATTTGCCTCTCCCTTTTTATTTTATTAATAAAATGTTTCTTTTATATTATATTCTAATTATTCTAATTTATTTTTTAAAAAATGGG